CAGCTTCCCAGCGGGGCAATGGCCATCCTGCCACTCCCAGCCATGCCTGGGGGGACTTCTGTGTTTATTTTCTTCCCGAGCCACTGAGGGATTTGGGGGCAAAGGCCCTGCCCAGAGCCAGCAATGATGGGAGACGCCAGAGCAGTGTGCAGACCCCTGCACCCTGTGGACAGCAGCCCCTGTTCCCCATGGAGAACCTCCCCGACCCCCCCGGGCCCCTTTGCTCTGCCCTCCCCAGGGCGTCCACAGCCCCTGCCCCCACTGCCCAAGTTGGGGTCTTCTGAGCCACAGTTTCCTCCCAGTCTAACCACAAGGGAGCCAGCCAAGCGTTGGAGGGTGTTGCTATCACAGGCCAGGCCAAGATGGTGGCCCCAAGAATCCTGCGGGGCAGCAGGGTCCCGGCGGGGAGCCGTGGGAGCTGCCAGCACCACACCATCTCCTTGAGCTTCCCAGCCCAAGAGGCAGGAGGGCGGGAACGTCTGGTCCATGCTGCAGGTAGGAAAGCTGACATCACACACAGGAGGTCACAGAGCCAGTGGGACTCCAGAGTCTGGGTTTCTCCCCCCAGATACTGGTCCTCCCACCTCTTGGGGAGACTTCTGGCCTCCTGGTGGTTTGGGAGAAGCTGGGACCCAGGGGTCTGCTGCTCTGCTGGAAGCTGAGAGCCTCAGGGGACCAGGAGGGGTGAGGGGGGCACAGCTGGGCCCTACACGGCTGAGGGGCAGGGGCCCCCAGGCCCCGGCTCTGGTCCATAGCAGGTGGCCTTCAGTTTATGAAGAGAAGTGCGTTAAGGAATGTTAATCAATGGAATCTCCGTCTAACAGCCCCAGTCTAAGGTGCAGAGTGACTGGGGTGCCCACGAGCTGTTGCAGGCCCTCCTTCTGTGTCGAGGGACATTGTTACCTCCTGGCTTTGCCTGAGGGGAGGGCTGTCTGTGTATAGATATTCTCTTCACATAGACCTCTGGGCTCTTATTAATGACGCCCACCCGCCCCCTCACCCCACCCCGTTTGAAAGGCCTTTCCAGAAAGTTGGAGAAGATTCCTCAGAAGCAATCCCAGATGTGCGGGTAGGAGGGCCCCACCCACCCTTCAGTGACCCCCATGCCCATCCCCTCCTGCCACTGTTCTCGTCCCTCCGTGCCGCTTGGCACTTGGACTGCAGAATTTCTATGTTTGTGACCTAGTTCTTTTTTTGTCTGTCATCAAACTGGGCTGTCCCTAGGGGCATGCGCTGTTTGCCCCATGAGAAGGGTTCTTGGGGTGGCTGGGCTGAGCCCTGCGGTCAGGTCCCTCCCGACCACCCGTTTGGCTTGAGGAGAAGGGAGTCCACTTTCCAAGCCTTCTGGCCCTGGGAGCAGGACAGTGGCCACAGGACTCCACTCCGGACCACTTGCCGGCCCAGAGAGCCTGGTCCCCTGGAACCACGCCTGGATGCGCTCGGGTCTGGCGCCTCCCCCTGCCCACTTCCAATCTGGTTCCCTTTGGAGATGTGGGGAGGAGCCCCAGGCGGGGCAACTGGGTCACCTCCCAGGGCCCAATTCTTCTTTGTAGGGTTGGCACATGCCATTCTGCACCTCGGGGGATTCAAGGAGCCGGAGTTCATCGCTTGTCACTCTCCTTTGCTTGGCTAAGCTAAGGGACGCCAAGCTAAGGGACAGAATTAGCTCTTTGCTTTAACTCTCAAGGCTCCCCAAGTGGCTGAACCATCGGCGGACGGAGCGGGATGCGGCCTCCTGGGAACCTGCCCAAGGCTTTTTCCCTGGTTCCTCTGGGAAAAGATCCAGAAAAAGACTGAAAGTATCCCAGCGGAGAGGGAGGGGGTAGGGAGGGACCAGGCCCTGCCCGGCTGTCAGGAGAAGCCCTTGGGGCTCTGGGAAGACACGAGGTCCCCCTGAAGCCAAGACAGCGATTCTGTTCTCAGTGCGCCGTGGGGAGGGCTGGCTGGGTCTCATCGCTCCCAGATCCACTCAGACCCCTGGGGTCCTCACTGCATTCCCGGACTGCAGGCCAAGTGCCCAGTTTCACGGAAGCCTCAGAAGTCAAATCGTCTCCAAAAGGCCATGAGCCAGCCCGTGAGCACGGAAATGGGCCGCCTCCCAAGGATGGCCAGAAAAGTCGGGGCTCAGCACGCAGAACCGCCTTCCTTCCTCATCTATCCCTGACCACTGAGATGTGCCACGCCTAACTTATCTCCTGTGACAGCCAGTGACAGGCACCTGGCCTGCGGTGCCGGGACAGCAACAGGGCAGGCCATGCCCAGTGGACCCGCCCACGTTGTGTCCACACGCCAAAGTGGGGTGATGGTGCAGGTGTGGCCCTTCCAGGCCCGACCTCCACAGGCTGGACCCCTTCAGGAGCTTGCCCCCCACACACACACACTTTGGTGACACACACCCTCAAGGGCCAAAATGAAAGTGACGAGTCCTGGCTTGGCATCCCCATCACTTGCCACAGTAAGTGAGGGGGTCAGGGAGAGCGGGCTTCAAATTCGGGCTCCGGTGCCCACAGCCCTACAAACTTGGGCATACAATTTCCCTGCTCTGAGCCTGTTTTCTCACCTCTGAAGTGGTCTTTCTAATACCAACCCCCTGAAAGGTCAATGCCTCTTTGGGGCTCTGCTCAGAACCTGGTGTGTATCACCTGGAAGCCACCCCATCCCAGCACAGTATCTCTCTGCCTCTTCCATCCTCTGCCTACATTTCCATTTTTCCTTCTATTCCTATGGACAGCTCCTTCCACGGCGTGGCAGATTGCATTATAGTTCAAAATTACTGACCACTCCTCCAGGGGGATTGTATGCCCAGTGACATCCTCGGAGTGCTTGACTACAGGACCTGCTCTGGCCAGTGGAATGTGAGCAGAAGTGATGCGCGTTGTTTCCAGGGAGAAAATTTCAGAGCTGGCGCACAGGTTCCCAGCCGTGCCTATTTCTGCCCCAAGGTGACATCATTCCAGATGGAGGCTCCTCTGTCAGCCGGAGCCCTAGAGTAAAGGGGACGCGGAGCAGAGCTGCAGCCACTCTCCAAGGACAGGTGGCAACTGTAACACAAGCTCCGTTGTTGGAAGCCATGGACACCTGGGGGTCATATTTTTTTGTGTTTTTTTGTGTTTTTTTTTTTTTGCGGTACGCGGGCCTCTCACTGTTGTGGCCTCTCCCGTTGCGGAGCGCAGGCTCCGGACGCGCAGGCTCAGCGGCCATGGCTCACGGGCCCAGCCGCTCCGCAGCATGTGGGATCTTCCCGGACCGGGGCACGAACCCGCGTCCCCTGCATCGGCAGGCGGACTCTCAACCACTGCGCCACCAGGGAAGGGAAGCCCTGGGGGTCGTATTTTGTCTACACATTGTAGCTCTTGGAAGTCTTTAAAGGAGCTCCCGAGAGCTGACTTGTGTCTTCCGCTGCTGCTCGGTGCCGTGGATGAATGACAGTTAAGATGTTAAGCTTCAGGGCTTGGCAGCTACACAGTAGGTGCTCAATAAACAGTGGATGTGGCTGTGACTTGGCATCTCTGCACACAGACCAGACTGACGACCAGCTGAGCTGCAATCCTGCTCTTCCTCTCGTGTGAGTTGTGCGAAGGTGCAGGCTTGGTGCCACGCTCCAGCAAGCTTCTCCCCTGAATTCGTGCCTGTGGTCTCCTGGAGAGAGGAGGCATTCGTGCCTGGTCTCCTCCGTCATCTCCTGGAGCCACTGCCTGCTCCCCTCCCCCACCCCGCCACCCACCTGCAAGAGCTGTGTGGATGGAGGCGCCTTAGATGAGATTCCATTGTCCACCTGTCCCCCGGCCCAAGGTCAGGTTTATTAAGCTTGCTGCAGCAGGAGAGGATGCACACCAGAGGGACGCTGGGGCATCTCTCTCCACATCTCCTTGGCTGTCATTTTTCTCCATTGACTGAGCCCACGTTAATCCCCTCTGCCGTTCCAGACCTCCCTCTCCTTTGCTATTTCACTTCTACCCCCTGCAATCAAACCTGGCCCAGGGGCCCACAACATCCCCTTAGCACTGGCCTTGCTGTGCTGGTGGTCTTCTGAATTTGGGCTGAATTTTGGGCAACATTCCCCTCTCAGCACCCAGCACGTGGTAGGTAGACAGGAGGGGCTCGATAAAGCCTGGTTCTGCTCTGCTGAGTTGGTGGCCTGGTGGCTGGTGGGGCTGTGGAAGGACAGAGAGCTGGTCTCTGCAGACTAGGTCACTATGGTCCTACCAGGGATGCAGGTAGGAAGGCAAAGTGCCCCCCAACCCATGGCTGTTGGGCCGGGCCTGGCAGAGCTGGCAAGGAGCCATGTACCCCCAGGCCTGGGCTCCAGTTTTTCTCCCGATCTCTGCCTCCTTCTTGCCTACTCCACTCCCGGCAGCTGGGGACCCTGAGCAGACCAATTCTCTCTCAAAGGATGGGGTGTTGTGGTTGGGTCTGGTGCCTTCCCCACTGACCACTAAGGACCAGAGGTCAAGGATTTCAACAAAGGAATTCGCAAAAGCCATCTCTCTTTATTTTGTATTCCTGCCGTTCAACCAGTTTGCACAAGCTGAGGATGAGTGGAGTTTGGAGGGGAAGGAGGAGTGCGTGGGCACAGTCCCTCCCGGAAATAGTCTATGCACGTTGCCGAGGCTGGTTAGACTTGAGAAGCGATTTAACAATGAACTCTACAGAATCAGAAATGTACAAAAGTGTCAAGGCAGCTGCTGGCTGGTTTCTTGCCTCCCCACGGGGGTCAGAGTTACACCCGTCAGTCCTGTGCAAAGGTCCTGGGGCTGGCCTGGGGGCACAGCCAGATTCCTCCCCAGGGGAGGAGCAGTCCTGCTCATGCAGCAGAAGTGTGTCAAGGGACAGGCACATGGGCGTGTGCCCAGGTGCCCACGCCCCCTCAGGTTCTGTGGCTTTTAAGCCTGTCTTTGCGTCCTGCCTTTATGTTCGCCCTTTGAAAGTGTTCATGCAGGTGTAGGTTCCTGAGAATTTGTGGATCTCCTCGAGGGCAGCCTGTGGGAGTATGCTGGTGGAGTGGGGAGGGAAAAGAGAAGATGGTTAGTGGGGAGACCAGTGGCCGGGTCACTGGTAGCCATACAAGGGGTGTAGTAAAGTGATGGTTCCCATAAGCTCTCCCCACCCCTCTCTCCAACATACACCGGCTCCCCCGACAAGCCACCACAACCCACCCCTCCATGGAGGAAGGGCTTTCAAGTAAGTAGGTAAATAGCTATTTACAAGGTAAAGGGTGGGTGTTACAAACTTTCAAAGCCACACTCTTAGCATTTTAGGGCCCAAACGTATCTCAGAGATCAATTAACTCCAAATGCCACTTATTCAACAAATATTTACTGTGTGGGGCTGAGGAGTTAGGTACTGGGTGTCACCTCCTCTTTTTTTTCCATGTATTATTTATGAAACAGCCACACTGTGCACATGATACAGTTGATGCCAAAATCTGTCCTCTGCCATCTCAAGATTCTCGGCCAAGTTTGTTCCACTGCATAGTGATGTTTTCCTATAGGTGGGACCTCAGGTGTTACGTCTCATCCTTTATGTCCCTCCAGATAGTAAAACACCTGCATATACCTTCAGGCCTTGTTCTTTAGCATGACACAATTTCTTGCTTCTTGTAGGAAACTTCCCAGACTCACCCCTAGGCCTTTCCTGGGGCTCCCCATAGCTCTATGCTTCCCCAACAACCCCCGGAGTTGTGCTTGCTGTTTACTTGTCAAGTCCATGGGTGCCTCTGCGGTAGATATTTCATCTCCGATCCCGGCACTTAGCACAGGGCCCAGTAGAGAGACGCCCTCAGTTCCTCTGTTGAATGAAATTGAAGGGCCCTGGTCCATTCTAGTTGCAACGTGGGAAAGCCTCACTTCCAGCTGGAGCAATCTGGAAGGCTTCCTGGGGGTGGTGGCACTAGAGTTGAGCCTGTGAAGATTTCTCTTGGGGAAGGTGAAAGGAGGTGCCGTGCAGGGAATGGGGAGGGACTGGCCTCTGCTTCTTGTGGGAAAGTAGTGGGGGATAGAACACAAAATGTAGGCTGGGTGCTTACTGTGGAGAGTGCTGAGGTGTTCTAGACAAACTAGCTTTTTTTCTAGAATGTCCCCAAAAGCTTCTAAGAAGCTCCCTGCGGTGGAAGATCAGCTTGGCTTTGGTGAGGATCCAAGTCCCTGCTCTCCAAGGCTCACAGAGGCGGCCAAGTAGCATCTCAAAGCAACAGTCAGGATGGACTGAGGGAGGCTGAGGTGTGGCCTGAATGCCCGGAGTCCCCTACTCTGTGTCACTGAAAGGGACTGATGTGTCCCCGGGTCCTGAGGTTTCTTGCCTGCAGTTAGAGTAGCTCCTCAGATGCCCACTGTGTCCACAGCAGCCAGAGGGGAACCTGGTTTCCTGGGGGTTGACATCCGATAAAGGCACTTGGGTGCTTCACCTCCTGAAAAGGCCTTTCAGGTCAGAGGGGTTCAGTCATCTGGGGGTTGGGGGCCCAGGGGAGCCAAGAGTCCACGGTCACTCGGGCTCCGGGGTCAAAGCTCTCTGTGCAGCACGAGAGGCCTATGAAAACAGTGTTTAGTGGGGCACCTGCAATGGCCCCTTCAGCGTGGGAGTGGGATGGGAATGGTTTGTTGCCCAGAGTCTGGAAAGTTCTAGGGAATGTGATGCTGGGCACATTTTGGAGGAAGATGGTCTCCTCTGTAAAGCCTACCCCCCAAGGTGGTCTGCCCTGGTAAATCCCACCAGGGATGTTTCTGTGAATCCCGAGCCTTTGGCAACGAAATCCCTGTCTTCCCCATTAACTGACGTTCATTTTAAAATTTGATTCTATTTTATTTTATTTTTGGCTATGCCACACAGCATGCGGGATCCTAGTTCCCCAACCAGGGATTGAACCCGTGCCCCCTGCAGCTGAAGCGCAGAGCCTTAACCACTGGACCGCTAGTCTTCCCTATTAGATTGAACTTCCTGAAGGCTAGGGCCAAGACTTAGTCTCTAGAATAGCAGTTCTCAGAGTGTGGCCCAGGAACCCTTGGGGGTACCTGAGATCTCTTCAGGGGTCTGTCTGCCAGGTCAAGCTATTTTTATTATAATACTGAGACAGGTTTTGACTTTTTAAGTCTCATTCTCTCATGAGTGTACAGCTGAGTTTCCCAGAGGCTACGTGACATGTGACATCAACAGATTAAAATCAGAAGCAGATATGAGCATCCAGTTGTCTTCAATTAATTCAGATAATAAAGAGCTTTGCAAAAATATAAAATAATGCCATTCTTCTTACTACATTTCTTTTTTGGAAAATACATTTACTTTTCACAAAAATATCATTTACGTTAACACTGAATGGATTTTTTCTTGCTATATATAAATGAATAAATGTATAAATCCCATAAAATATTTTCTCAGTTTTAATTTCTAATACAATAGATACAACTCACAGAGATAAAAGCACTTTGGGTTCTTCAATAATTTTTAAGATTGTAAAGGGTTCTTGAGACCAACAAGTTTGAGAACCGCCACTCCTTAGTAAGGATAGTATATCCATGGCACACGTGCCACTGCTCTCACTTTCACGCCCACAGCAGGCAGACATGACTAATCAATCACCGGGGTACTTTCTCTTGCCTGAGTCCTCTTCCCCACCAGGGTCCACAGGGAGAAGGGGAAATGGCCAGCATGACCCTGACCCAGAGCTTCCTCCCCCAGCCCCATACCTTTTCAAGATAATGAGGGCGTGCATCGTCCACGGGAGGAGGAGGAGGGCCTGATTGAGCTGCACGGCTTCCACCGTCCTCCGGGCCACGGTCTCCGGCTTTAGGGGCGGGAAGAGGTTGGGGAACCTGCAGGCAGGAAGAGACAGTGTGGGTTTCCCCTGAGAAGCGAGCGCTTCTGCTGAAAACCCCTGTGGCTAACATGTCAGCGTCATCCCTTTGGCTTCTCCTGTGTGGGAGACTTGATACCTGTTTGGAACACTCTCCCTGCCGCCCGGGATGTGTCAGGAGTTCCTCTTCCTCTCACTCCTCCCAGCAAGTCTCCCCTTGAGAATTGAGGGCTTCTAGCCCACCCACCCACCTGGGACCCATTCTTACGGCACTGCAGAGGGCTCCCCCAAACCTCTCTCATATCCCGTCTGGCCTTGCTAAAGCCCTCCTGGGGCCCCTCGCTCTGCTTTCAGTCCTACCCACTCTGGGCCTCACCTTTCCTCCTTCTCACCCTGCCCCAACGATCCTGCCAACCCTGTCACTTAAGATCTTTCCCATCTCAGCTGTCCCATCAGCCTGGCTCCTTCCTCCCATCCACTCAGAGTGCCCTCTAATCTCGGCCCCCTGATAATTGCCTTGACTGAATCGAGAATGGCCTTGCCTGTCTGCTTGTTTCCTGTGAATGGCCTGTCTCCCCCATCAGCCTGTGAGTTCCCCAAGGGCAGAAGTCTGGTGGGTCTTGCTCCCTGCTGTATGCCCTGTGTGCAGTGTCTGGGATATAGTAGGTGCTCAATAAATGCTTGCTGAGTGGGTAGACACTGAACGATGTGGCATTCCCCTACCACTTGCTGGTTTACTCACTCATTCCCTAATTCATGGATACACTCACCGATTCATTCAAACATCTACAGGGCGTTTCCACGGGGTTGATAAATGAATGAATGGCTGAGTAAGCAAACATCAGGGGGTTCTCATGCCTGTTCAGAGACATCTGACCTGAGACCCGTACAGGGATGATGCTCCCTTAGCGCCAGGCCTGTGCTGAGTGATCAACAGGCATCATTTGCTCCAACTGCCAGAGAAGGAAGCCGAGGCTCTGGGGATGGTGGGGACTGGGGAGTCAAACCAGGCCCGCAGGAGCCCCAGACCCGTGCTCTGTCTCCCCTGTCCCTCACTTGCTGCTTGTCCCACCGCTCCTGGGCCTATAGGTGCAGGACTGATGCTGCTGGCTCTGACCTCAGTCCCACAAAGGGCTGGTGAGCTGCTCCGGCACCAGGAGGACTGAGGGTGATGAGTCACCCGGGGATGATGTCACCCTGAGCAAAAGGCAACTCCTGGGCCCCCAGCGCGGGCTTGGCTGGCCTCAGAGAGTCCACAGAGCTCGCCCCCAACCCTTGGCTTCCTTTGCCATCATGACGGGCTGCCAAGATGCCCACGACCCTGCAGTCTGGAAGGGCCGGCCTCAGGGTCCTGTGGAGATGGACGCGTGAGACGGCTCGTGACGCTGGAGCCCCACAGATACGGTGGACAGTGTGGGTTTCCAGCCCCCACTTGGGCCAGGGCTGCTTCTGGGGGGACTGGAAGACAGGATGGACAGACCAAGCTCCGTGGGCTCAGGGGGCTCTTCCTGGTAGGATCCCTGCGGGAGAACCTGACAGAGGGGATGCCTCACACACGCCCGCTGGTGGGGCTTTCCCTTTTTCCTCCGTGGTGTGTGGGATGGGCACCCGGGGAACCGGCAGAGCTACGAACTCCCACGGAGGCTGCACAAACCCCCTGAAAGAGCACGCTCAGCCCATTTCTATCTGTGTCGTCTTGGGCAAGTAACTTTGCTTCTCAGAGCCTCACTTTCCTCATCTGAGAAATGGGGATAAGAGCTCTCGCAGGGTTGTGGAGGGTCAAACGCAGAAGCGTTTGTAAGGTGTCTGGTGTGGCTGGAACATAAAGAAGATCAGTAAAGAGCAATTTACAAACAACAGCACCCACCTGTATGGCCACTCTTGCCAGAAAACCCATCAGTTTTGCCCTAAACATGTCTCCCACCCTCAACCCTGGGACGCTGCTAAGCATGGAAGCTGCTAAGCATGGTTGGAGAGGAAGCCAATGCTTTTCTTTCTTTCTTTTTTTCCCCTTCCTTCCTTCCTTCCTTCCTTCCTTCCTGAAATGGCAGTTGGTTAGGTACCAATCAACATTTTACTGCCCTTCTCCCAAGCCCTCGGGGCTCACCTGCAATCCACAGGTAACTAACCTTCACCTAGTGCTCACTACTCGCCAGCTGGCTAGTTGATTCACGCACAGGAGCTCATCTAGCCTGTGAGGCCAGGGTACCATTATCAATCCCTTCTTACAGACAAGGAAACCGAGGCACAGGAGAGCGAAGTAATTTGCCCAAGGTCACAGGGAGCTGGGATTAGGCCCCCGCAGCCTGGGCCCACATTCTGAGCCACTGTGGGAAAATGATCTGGGGGAGGCCTTGGGTTTCCTTCTTAGAGTGATGGAGAGGAAACTATGCCAGAAGGCGAAACAGGCACAGGGATGCGAGGTCTGTGAATGTCCTGCCCACTTCAGGGCACCCGATTAGAACCATGGGTCGCCACTGCGGCACTTCCATCCAATATGCATTGTTTGAGCACCTCCTGTATACCCAGATGAAAAGAAACCAAACCAAGACATCATGGGGGGAAAAAACCAACATGGAACATTAATAGTCATTAATCCAGCCTCCTCTAAATTCAGCTTCTATGATAACTGCATATAAGTCAGGTGGAAATATATACATCTGTGATGACTGAAGTCTGCTAGGAAGATTGATAACTTATGCACTTATGAAGATGTTTGTTAGTAAAAATAATAAGAGCAGCAGTTCGTTACTGAGCATCTCACATGCCCTGGGCTTCACACTGGATACGTTACATGTGTTATTTCTAATTCTCTCAATAATCCTATGAGGTATTATTTTCACTTTGACAGATGAGCAAAGTAAAGCTCAGAGTGGTAACAAAACTGGTTCAAGATTTCGTCACCCTTCAGTAGCTGAGGTGTGATTCCAAACAGGGAGTTGTGTTTTTTCCTTAATTTTATTGAAGTATAGTTGATTTACAATATTGTGTGAATTTCTGCTGTACAGCTAAGTGACTCAGTTATACACACACACACATATATGTTCTTTTCCTTTATGGTTTGTCACAGGATACTGAATATAGTTCCCTGTGCTATACAGTAGGACCTTGTTGTTTATCCATCCTATATATAATAGTTTGCTTCTGCTAATCCCAAACTACCATTCCTTCCCTCCCCTGCCCCGCCTCCCCCTTGGCAACCAGAAGTCTGTTCTCCATATCTATGTCTGCAAGACCAGGTGTTTTGATTCTTGATAGCAAAACCAGACTCAGTGATAATCACTAAGGTGTTCTGAGTGATTCCCACCCTGAGGCACTACGCCACATGCCTTCTACACTCTCAGGAAACTCTCACAATGACACTTCCACGCTATCCTCATGTTTGGAAGAAGCTGATGCATATCATTTAGAAAGCAAAATTATCATTATATGTTGCATTGCAAAAAACAAGGAAAATAGTTTTGGGATGATTCCACGTTTTCATTTATCTATAATCTTATGCCCCTTCACGAGCGCACATCGTTATAGCACCATTTACTGGGTACTTACTATGTAGCACATACGGTGTTGCATGCTAGACCCCATTTTATCCCTATCACAGAACCCTAAGGGTAGACATTCCCATCATCCCATTCTACAGATTAGCATCAGAGGCAGGAGTGGGAACTAATTGGGCTCAAGGTCACACACACCCCAGGGGCCTGGCTCCAAAGCACAAGCTCTAAACCAGTGGTTCCCATTCCCATTGATTTAAGTGGCCTGGAGGAGGGGTGGGTGGGCTTCGGTATTTCTTTAAACTGAGCTATAATTTGCATACAATAAAAGGCATAAATCTTGTGTCCAGCAGGATCAATTTTTACCTATGTAACCCCCACTCAAATCAAGAAGAGAGAACATTTCTAAAAGCCTAGAATGTTCCCTGGTGCTCTCTGCCAGGCTATGTCCCCACTCCCCTTGGGGTGGCCACTGTTCTGATTTCTATCACCTCGGTCCAGTTTTGCCTGTTGTAGAACTTCAGACAAATGGAATCATGCAGAATGCACTTTTATGTCTCTGGTTTCTTTCTCTCAACATTTGAGATTCATCCATATTGTTCACTTACCAATACTTGGTTCCCTTTTTATAGTTGGGTAGTATTCCATTGCATGCGTTTAGCATGGGAACTCTGTACAAGCCCCCTGACCCGAGAAGCAGGACCCTAAACCACTATAGAACCCCACTGCCCTGCAGATGGAGAATCAGGTACGAGACCAAAAAGCCAGAGATAAAGGGTTCTGGGTTATTTTAAGATTTTGGGTCTCTGTGTGTAACGAGTCTTTCTCCTGATCCGATCTGCTGGAGGGACTTGGCTCGGAGAGGGGGTCCCCTGCCACTGACCTGACCCTCATGCCCTGGAACATCTCGGTACTGGTGTGGAAGGGCAGCACGGTGGTGGCACTGACGCCTGGACAGTCCAGCAGCCCCAGCGTCAGGCTCTCCATGAAGGCGAAGGCTGAGGCTTTGGACGTGCAGTAGTCAATGGCGCCGGGGATGGCAGACAGCGCCAGCACGGAGTTGAGACACACGATGTGGCCGTTCTGCAGCTCCAGCATCCGTGGCAAGAAGGCCTTGGTGGTCTAAGGGTGGGTGGGGAGGTCAGTGTGCAGCAGCCACGGCTTCCAACAGCCCCTCTACCGCCCCCCTCAGGGAGAACAGACCAGCCGGTACACAACATACTACGCCAGCGACCAGGCTTTCCTGGGATGGGAGGCGTGCGGGCCGAGGGCACTGAGCCCCACATTTCAGAAAGTCCAGATGCCTCCTGGGGCAGCCGGTCATTCGTCTTGTCCGGTCACCCTATCCTAGGACATCCCCCCTGGCCTGAGCCCAAGCCCTGGCAAGCCTCTCCCCACTCCCCTACAGCTCCCAGGATTCCTGGAGGGAAGAAGCATGTCACTGACATGCCCAGGGCTGGCTCAGGCTCAGAATAAACTTACCCAGAACTGGCCCAGGGTGTTGATGTGCTGGGACTTGAGAAGGGCATCATCGTCACTGTCCATCAGGCTCTTCCCATGGACCACGGCGGCGTTGTTCACCAGGATGGTGATGTCGCCCACCTGTGGGCAACAGGGGGACGAGGGGCCGTTAGGGCCGGCAGCCCCAGTGGCTTGCACTTGGAGAGGAGGGACCTGGTCTTGGGAAGTCACATCACCTCTCTGAGCATCAATCTTGATTTGTAAGATGGGGCTAATAACCATACCAGGGTCGTTCTGGGGATCAGAAAGAATTTATGGCTGGGAATTCCCTGGCAGTCCAGTGGTTAGGACTTTGCACTTTCACTGCCGAGGGCCTGGGTTCGATCCCCAATCAGGGAACTAAGATCCTGCAAGCCGTGCAGTGTGGCAAAAAAAAAAAAAGGCAGAAAAAAGAAATAATTTATGGCACATAATGTACCTGGCACAGAGCACATCTATTGTAAATGAGGTTATTGTTACATAAAAATAGTTAACCTTTACCATGTGTCAGATATCTAATGGTGGTTTCTGCTCTCTTGGAGCTCAGTGATGCATTCAGTCTAAATAGATGGCTGGAGTCGGGGATTTTCCCAGAGGGCAATGGGACATTTGTCCCCCAGGATCTAGGATAGAAACTCACAAGATCTAAACTTCCAAAGGGGACAACAGGTGATCAGACCGCTTACGTAATCAACCTATGCCCTAGTCCCTGCCCCCTGCAACACACACACGCACACGCACACACAACTTGGGCCAGCTTCGTAGGAAAGCCCTCCAAGATGCCCTGAAAATAGCCATTCTGCCATAGGCAAAGCTCTCTCCCAGGCCACGTGAGAATGTTCTCTTTGGCCAGCATTCCCCCCCCAGTGTCTGGCAGAGCTGAGGCCGGCCCCTCGCAGGCTGCCCACCTTCTCCCGGACAGCTTTGGCCGTCTGGTACACCTCCTCCCGGTTGCCCACATCGCAGATGAAGTAGTGGCACTCGGTGCCCATCTGCCGAATCTCCTCCGTCGTCTCCTTCAGGCATTTCTCAGTCCGGCCCCACAGAACGATCTGGAAGGAGAGGATAGCAGTACTGAACACGGGGTCATTAAGGAAGCCATCGTGATTCGATGATTGCCACCAGAAATTCCGTATGTAATTTGCCCCAGGACTGGCCTCCCTGATTCCATTCAAAGAGAGTATGCAAAGTCACAGTATGATTTGTTAAAGGGATATATGTAGCCTACTCTGAAGGGAACCAGGAGTTTCTGAGCCTGTTCATGACCCATTGGTGGACGCGTGATTCACAAGTCTTTCTCACGTATTGCTTCCAGGAGGATGTCTCCTGTCGGCCCAATTCCAATGATCCTACCTAGTTAAAAGTAGTAGCAGAGGGCTTCCCTGGTGGCGCAGTGGTTGAGAGTCCGCCTGCCGATGCAGGGGACATGGGTTCGTGCCCCGGTCCGGGAAGATCCCACATGCTTCAGAGCAGCTGGGCCCGTGAGCCATGGCCGCTGAGCCTGCGCGTCCGGAGCCTGTGCTCCGCAACGGGAGAGGCCACAACAGTGAGAGGCCCGCGTACCGCAAAAAAAAAAAAAAAAAAAAAAAAAAGTAGTAGTAGAGCTCTTTCTGTACAATGTTCCAGAATGCTCTGAGCTAGAAACAAGCTGGCCTTCTCACCACTGAGGTCTAGAGCCCCGCCGATGAATGGACTGCGAGGTTCTGACCGTGAGGTGCCTGGAGGCTGCGCAAAGCCTTCCCTTCCACCCAGCTGTGGTCCGGCAGAAGGAGGGCCGGGAAGACAGGCAGCTGGGCTCCTCTGGGGAAGGAAACACGACCTCACCCCGCAGGTAATAAACGCGGGACTCATTAGACCAGGAAGTGACCCTGGCAGAACCAAGACATGAATCCTTAAAGGGGGTTGGACAAATTTATGAATGGCTGGCCATAAAAGGCTCAGAAGAGAGGCCGGGCTAATTCTCAACCGTGACCCACAGGAGAATGACACTCCTTCCCATGGTACGTCGTTGGGTCCAGAGAGGCCCCTGTTGGTAAAAGAACCAGGGTCGGGTGACAGGGAACGAAGAATCCTGAGACCCAGCTTAATCAGCACAGAGGGAGAAAGGCTGGGGGCTGGAGAGAATCAGAGAAAGGAAGAGATAAAAGTCTCCTGGGGGATTAATCTAATGGGTTTCTATTTTTGTTTCTTCTCTTTCTTTTAAAAATTATTAATGAAATTTCTCCTTAAAAAATAAAACGTAACACGGAACCCCATATGTGAAACCAGTAAAAGGAACAAATTACACGTCCAACTCCATATTTTCTTACACTAAAAGCAACGAATGAGAGTAGAAGGGCTGAGCTGCGAAGACAAACATTTTCAAGTGGGAGTGATGGACTAACTCCAGTCACGCCAGACCAGCATCTAACTGATTTCTGTACTTTGCTCTGGACTCGGTAAGGAGAAAAGTCACGCAGATAAGTAGTTGTTGGTGATAACCGTTTATCAATTGTTTACCTTGAAATCTCAGAACTTTCACATAACGAAAAAAGGCACAAAATGGGTTAGCTGGCGGGACACACAAATGTGTTGGTGGCTTCCATGGATTTGACTTTTTTATTAGAGTTTTTAAAACTTTCGAAATATTTCTTAAAGGAAAATAAAAGTGTTCTTTCAACTCTTGAAACATCTCTGGGAAAGCCCAGTTTGAAAACCCCACCTTGTCCAACCAGTTTATTTATTTTAATTGGAGTCTTGAAATACAGGAAAGGCTTTACGAGGGAGAATTCCATCAGCCACCCTCCACGACCACAAAAGTCCTTCAAGAGCAAAAGGTCTGCAATTAGACAGGCTCCAAGGGACACTTTCTTGTCTGTTGAACTAAAAACAGACTTAGAATGTGTTCCTCCAGGAGAGGCTGGAGAGATTCCTTCACGGAGAAGAGATAAACATCTGTTCAGGCATCTTCCACCATATCAGACCTCACTCTTGCCTGGTAGTCACTGTCATCCTAGTTTCCTTCCATCCTCCCTTGTCACCCCACCTGTCTGTCCATCCATCCTTCCTCACATCCATCCATCCACTCATCCATCCATCCATCCACCCCACTCCATCATCCATCCATGTAATTTCTGAGTATGTCAGTCTGAGGTGAAGGAAATCCTTGGCCTCATTTCTCATACCCTGGTCCCTGCCTAACCCCATCCCACATCCATCTCATATGGGGAACAGGACCCTGGGGCTTGCAGAGTTTCCTAGGGCCTGGCTGAGGATGAGAGAGGAGCCTCCGGGACTCTGAGAACTTCTGGACAAGAGAAGGCAAGCTTAAAGTGGGGGTAGGGGCTTGTTGGAAGGCGCAGCGGTCCAGGTGCCTGGGAGCACAAGAAAACCAGCAGAAAGGGAACAGGGAAGGCCAGCTCGGTCTGCATGGCTAGAAGGACACCCTGGAGAGGGAAACAGGGGCTAGGGTGAGGGAGGCGAAACGAAGGCTGTGCCCCACTGTCTTCCACGTATATACACCCAGGTGGGATGCTGAGGTCTGGCCATGTCCTTTTGGGGGTCTGTTGAGGATGCCCCTGGTGGGCTGGGGGGCTGGCCTCATGCTCTGTGCTCAGAGGCCCCACCTCTCCCCAGACACTGTGACGGGTTTGCTTTCTGTCCTCCTCACCCCACCCACCCCTCTGAGCAGGGAGCTCCCGGGGGCCCTGATCCTGCCTTGTTCATTTCATATCTCAGGGCCCAGCAATGCAAGTGCTATTTGTTGAGCGAATGAACGAAAGTTCATGGCCGTAGGTGGGACAGGACGGGAGGTGGTTAAATAGCCTCTCTGAGGCTGAGACGAGCCCAGTTTCCTCGACTGAGCCATTTAGGGTCCCAGAACCTTCAACACAGAGGCTGCTTAGCCCAAGAGTCGGCGAGACCCGGACTTTCACCCAGAGCCTCAGAACCACCCAGGACTGAGCTGTGAGGTGAGGCCCAGGCCGGTGTGTGTGTGCCTCACTGTGTGTCTCTCTCTGTGCGTGTCTGAGTGAATGTGCCTCTCTCTGCACGCGTGCACGTGTGTGTGTGTGTGTGTGTGTGTGTGTGTATGTGTGTGCAGCCTCTGCACTGCTGTGCATTTCCTCAGGCGAGTCCCTGGGGAGCCAGGCTGGGCATCTTCCTGTCTTAGGACCCAGGTGCGTCTCCATGGTGACAGGGAGGCCAGGGCTGGTCACCTCGATGGAGCCTTCCAGTAACTGAGCCACTGGGGGTGGGAGGTGAGGGAGAGCGCTGCGTGGGGGGATGGGGGCCCTTCCTGGCTAGGAGCCGCCCAGTTGGAGCTGCTACAGCCACTGTCCCTCCTCTTCCAGTGCCCTGCCCGGACCCCTCTGGGGACCCAGAGTCACCGACCAGGAACCTGGCAGGTACAGCTCAGAGGCTGGTCCGGGTGGCTTCTCACCAGAGTCACCTGGGGGTGACCCCGGACAGCTGACAGGACAGGAGTCCCACCCAGTGCCCAAATGCGGGTAAGGATGGGGTGGGCGGGAGGCAAGGGGCTGAGAGGAGCGTGGGGTAAGCAGCCTGGGGAGGGGGCAGATTTATGAGCCCTTGGAACCCAACATGGCCTCCTCTTAATCAACTCCCAGGACAGGGCGCAGCTGGGGAGGGTCAGCGGCCCCGGGATTTACGCTTAAGCCGAGTTTATAAAATAAGAGCTCAGGGGCACTAGACACCCCTTGGCCTCCCCTACCCTCGGGGGGCAAATGGCTAGCTTCCGTCCCGGGGAGGAGGAGGGAAGGGGGGGTGAAGACCTCTGGCGTCCCAGGCCTCCCAGCAGAGGCACGGGGTCCCGCCCTCCTCTCCCTCGGAGCTGACCTCGCAGCGAGCCTGAACCCCCGAGCAGCCCCCAAAGCTGAAGGCTATCACGAGCCACTTTTTTTTTTTTCTCCCGGTACGCGGGCCTCTCACAGCTGTGGCCTCCCCCATTGCGGAGCACAGGCTCCGGACGCGCAGGCTCAGCGGCCATGGCTCACGGGCCCAGCCGCTCCGCGGCATGTGGGATCTTCCCGGACTGGGGCACGAACCCGCGTCCCCTGCATCGGCAGGCAGACTCTCAACCACTGCGCCACCAGGGAAGCCCACGATCCACGTTTTATGGCTGAGGACACTGGCTCAAAGGCGCTGAGTTAACTCGTCCAAAGTCGCACTCAGTGGGTGGCGGGGGCAGGATTTGAACCCGGAGCCTTTGTCCTCCTCAGATGCACCCCTGAAACCCGAGGGATGGTGGGATTTTTCTGAGCATTGAGAATTCTGCTCCCAAATCCCCTGAGTCCTCACACCAGTGTTTATTCCCACCCAGACCTCAGCTTCATGTCCCTCAACATCCACAACCCCTCGACAGGACCGCGCAGAGGGCCTGCAGCGGGCTGGGTGTTGTGCCTTTGCGGGATTTAACGGAGAGCAAAACAGACATGGTCTCTGCCTCAGGGAGACAGCGAAGGAATGAGAAAACAGCCGGACACAAACCGCTGTGAGTCGGATAAAGAATAAAAAGGGGAACGTTGTTGAAACTGGGACATTTCTGTGGTTGCTGTATTATGCCCGTTGTATATCTAAGGAAACTGCAACTCAGAGAGGCTAAGCAACTTGTCTGAGGTCACACAGCAACCAAGGGGCAGAGGTGGGATTTGAACTGAGGTTTTTCACCATGATTCCCTCTCCCAGGAGGAGAAAAGCCATCTCCTCTCTTCATGGAGTCTTGTGAGGATGAAACATGCAAAAGCTGGCACCCGCCTAGTGTTCAGCATCTGCTTTCTGTTATTAGTTCCCGTGGAGAGGAAGAGCTGAGAAAATCACAGCACAGCCCCTTGATATACCCTCTTCTGCAGCCATTAGAATGATGAGAGTTCACACCATGGACAAATGGTCAGGAGAAAAGGGTGCAGCATTACCCATATAGGATAATCTCAGCTCTAAAAACGTAGTAAGTTGGTGGACGTCACCAGGCTACACAAGAACAGGGCTTGTCTTGGGTGGGATCATAGGTTTGCTTCTTTGTGCTTGTCTATATAGGAAAAATGCTTCTGAAAGA